GTAAAGAGAATATCACTCCGGTTCATCCCAGGGAATCAACTGATTTCCCTAAATCAGACTTGACAGATTCTTCCCCCCAAGATCAACGACATATTAGCTAGAATTGATTCATAACATATATGAGATTATTGTACTTACCATGTATTGCTTCTTTCTGTAAATAGACTTGAGAAAGTCTACTCTCTGTACATTATATATGGCTGCAATACATAAACCAAATCACTCTGGTTGATTCAATTACTCTCCTCCTCTATCTCTCATCTCCCCTCTCCCCCTGAACTCTGTTTCTTATATGGTATCAGAGCTCTTCAGAGCCAAAGCTCACGTTTTTTCGATCCCACCCAATCAAATGGCAAACACACCCAAGTCTGGAGAATCAAGTCATATTGATATGACAAAACTGATTTCTGAAATGTCAAAGCTTGCCTCACCCCCATTCTCATTCCCATCCTTGCCCACCTCTTTCAACATCTCATCTCTGTTCCCAATTCCCATGGACAGAACCAACTATTTGAGTTGGAAATCACAATTTGAAGACGTATTGGAGATGCATGGCCTTGCAGAGGTCATCAAGAAAACCACAGACCCACCCAAAGTGCAAGAAGATGGCTCTGTGCATCCTGAGTTCGCCAGAGACAAACTGGTCCTGAGTTGGATCAAGGCGACTTCCTCCTCTTCCATAAAGATTCTACTCATCCCGTGTACCACCGCCTATCAGGCTTGGAATCTTCTGGGCAAGCGCCTCTCACCCCTTGCAGGTACCCGTGTGCGGATCCTTCGAGACCAAATTCGCACCCTCAGGAAGGACAACACCACAACTGTGACTGACTACCTCAACCATGCCAAATCACTTCTTGATTCCCTCATACAAGCTGGTGCAACAATGGATGATGATGAATTCGTTAGCTATGTTCTAGACGGACTTGGACTTGAATACAAGGAGTTAGCCACCACACTCCACTTGCACCCAGATATTGGTTTTGACCAGTTTTATGATCTCGCTCTCAGAGAAGAACAATTACAGAAACGCATGTCGCTCAACGTGGCCTCAGGTGTTGCTATGGCTGCTGATCGAATGCCCAATGAGCGAAAACCTCATTCAAACTCCGCTGGTCGCCATCACAACCCCTGGCACGGATCTGGACGAGGACGTGGACGTGGCAGAAATTGGATTCAAGGGCACAATGGGCAAACAGATCCGTGGAAATCAACCCAAGGAAATTGGCCACAAGGACACAACACTCAGCCTCGCGACCAGCAGATTGCACCATCTGCCCCTTCTCACGCAACTCTTACAGATGGACGTCCACCACTCCTTCCAACACCACCTGGCAATTCTCCAAATACCCAGCGCTCAGAAGTCATTTGTTATCGGTGTGATAGGCCTGGTCACATAGCCCGCTTCTGTCCAGATCGTAAGCCTCATGCCTACGTGGCTGAAAATGCTGTCAACCCGTCTCCTTCTACTGATGATATGGCAAACCTCAATTGGTGTCTTGACTCCAGTGCTACCCATCACATGACCGCCCACACCGCTTCTCTACCGCATGCCCAGCCTTACACAGGTACTGATACAATTGTTGTTGGCAATGGGAATCAGTTAGCAATAACACATATTGGCAATACTAAAGTGACCGGGTTACATAAGTCCTTAAACCTTAATGAAGTGCTATGC